ATGAAAAATAAAAACAATATGTTTAAAAATCCCGTGTAAAGTGGTTTGACTTACGAAACCTTGCTCCCGCCAACCATAGTTGCAGGCAAACCATACAACCAAAATATCATTCATGGTTTAATTTCCCGTTTTATTCTCCCTTCGGATGACAGTCAAAAGTATTTTTGAAAGTTACGGCTATAGTTGTTCAACATGCAATAATCCTCCCGACTCCCATCTACCAAAACTCTTCCCTTTACAAGTCGAAATACTAAGTAGGAATAAGAAAATTTGTTTGTTACTTACACTTACCCCGATAATGGCGTTGAGTTCAGGCATCGTTACTTGCTTTGCCCTCTCTACGGCCGTCGCTACTTGTTGTTGGTGCTAAGAGAGTGGAAAAAATAAATCACGCCTTAGCAAATAGTCGTGTCAAAGCGGAGGACGCAAGTTACCCAACCATGTGTAATGCGTACTCACCTCTTGCGATAAAAAGGGAAGAATCTGGGCGATGATGGCGTTGAGTCTTTTGGCGATCTCCGTCTGAAACAAAAACCACACACACAAGGAATGAAATAAGACGTTACAAAACGGCGTGTCGGACTAACCGGTCTGGCTGGGCTGCTGCCAGAGCGAGAGAGAGAGAGAGCGCCTCGGCCACTGCCCGACATGACATGTGTGCTCGTCGGCTTGTCGACGGCGCCGGCCGGCACAGTCCGTTAAGCGGATTACGTTTGGCTGCCGGGCGGACAGGTAGTGTAGTGGTAGCCGTATAAGGGCGGCCAGCCAAGCCGCTTACCAGCAAGGGGCCGCCCCGCCCCGCCCCATAACCCCATCCATCTCCACCGCGCTTTGATATCGACACCGTGTTTTCGCGACCCGCGTTACAACTGGCTGGAGTCCCACGGCACAGCTCGACTAGCCCGCAGCCAGCCCCATCATGTCAAACGTGAGAGACAGAAAGAGAGAGAGACAAAGAGACAGAGAGAGACAAAGAGACAGAGAGAGACAAAGAGACAGAGAGAGACAAAGAGACAGAGAGAGACAGAGACAGAGAGAGAGAGAGATGGGCGGGGCGGGCTGGAGCAGCCTGGGCGTTGATGTGAGAGTAGAGGAGGGCGTTGCGGTGAGGTACTCGACCGCCCCCGGGAGGGTGGCGCCGGGCTAGAGGGGGTGGCGGAGGGAGAGGAGGAGGGGGGGCGTCCGACCGCAGATTGGAACTCAGCGCTCGGGGCGCCTGGGGCGCCACACCGCAGCCTACTCCCCACAGAGCGAGGCGGGAGTGAGGGGGAGAGGGGGGCAGAAATACAAGCCCGGGGCTAACAAACCGCCCGGGCGTGGCGTGGCGCGCAACTAATACCCCCCTTCCCCCTTCCTCACCACCACCAGCGGCCACACCATCGCCTCGCTAATCACCCCACACACCTGATATATCCGAGAACAAGTCGAATTAAGATCACCAAACTCAACGCCCTGCCCCGCGCCGTGTCGTGCCCGCGTGGTCTGCGAAAGCTTGGGTCGGGTGTCGGGTCGAGTCAGTTCGGTGAGTTTGCAGTCCCGGAGGGGCGCGAGGGTGGGGATAGCAGGCGGGGAGCGGGCGAGCAGTGTACAGCAGCCGTGCGGGGGCCACCTGGCACCAGGCAACTTACAACGTGTCTAGGGCTTCATCCCCCTCGAGCCGCCCCGCCCCGCCCCGCCCCGCTTGGTATGCGTTACAAGGCATGAGGGCTCTCGGGGGCCGTGCCGGCGCGCCGTGCCGGGCGTCCAGAGGGGCGAGGTCTACTTCATTAAGTATTCACGCCGGCAGCGCGACAGCCCGGGGCGGGGCGGGGGCCGCACCTGGGCCCACGGGCTGGAGCCGTGTACGGTATTCAGCGCACACCCTCCCGGGGTCCCCGCGCCGGGACGACACGGGACGGGATGGGGCCCCCCGAAACACGCTCTCCACGCGAACTGCGCGGAAAAAGCGACACGGTCCGCTGCTGCTGCTGCATGCACTGCTGCCACTGCGGTGCGGATGGGACGGGTCTGCAGCCAGGAAATATGACACAACTTAATGTGGATTTGTTTTGTTTTTATTTTGGGCACCCAATCTTTCAGCTGCGCGCACTTGATGCTAAAAACGATGTGCACAGCCGCTATTGCTGGGCGTATATTTGAGCACACCACCCCCACCCATCCCCGCGAGCACGCCAACTTTACTTTACCCCCCTCCCCACCCCACCGCCGCCCCCGGGGCGCTGCGGTCGCTGGTGGCTCAGCCGACTCAAGCAAACCGCACCGCACTGGAGTCCTCGCCGCAAGCCAGCCAGCTCCAGCCCCCGCCGCGCCCCGCCCTGCGGTAGCGCCGCCGTGCCGCCCGGGCCGTGCGGTCGGGGCTATACCCTTGCAGCGCCAGGGCCAGGGGCCTGGACACAGGAGAGTGACAGGGGGGGGG